GACAAAAAAATTCGCTTTATTCTGTGGTTCTCTAAGCTTGATTAGTTTCAGCTCCTGCAAACTTACAAAGCATAAAGCTATTTCTTATATTCACCTGAGAGAGACCACTGGATTTAAACATTCAGAAATGTACCTGTTACTTCAGAAACATCTTCTACTATGTGTAAACATTTTGTTTTGCAGACAGGTGTGCAGAATACATCTTGAATGAAATATTGTGGAATCACAGAATATCCTGAGTTGGAAGGAACTCACAGGGATCATTGAGTCCAACCCAAATTCAAACACTATGTCTGAGAGAAGTGTCTGGATGCAGCTTGAACTCCAGCAGCATGGGGCCATAATCACTGCCTTGGGGAGCCTGTTCCTTGGGTGGCATCACCAAAGTTGACTACTTCAAGGTCACTATGGCCAAGATGGCCATCAGTCACCACTTCACCTACAAGACCTTCTCTGTTTGAGTATCTCGTACTCCTGAGTATCTGTTTAAACTCCTGATTCTTTAGACATTCTCTTGACAGAGCACTGAGAAGTAAAGGGGATTATGCTTCATCAAGTAGCTGCCTCTTCTACATTTTCACCTAGAAATCTGTGGTGATGCAGTTACCAGTGACTCTTTCTGACTTCACTAACTATATATTATAGTATATATATTATATTATATATATATTATAGTTATATATATTCACTAACTGGAATGGACTGCCCAGGGAGGTGGTGGAATCACCGACCCTGGGGGTGTTCAAGGAAAGACTGGATGTTGTGTTGAGGGACATGGTTTAGTAGGAGCTATTGGGAATAGGTGAACGGTTGGACTGGGTGATCTTTTAGGTCTTTTCCAACCTTAGTGATTCTATGATTCTATGATTCTATATGGAAACAGGATATTCAAAGTCAAAGCTGCTAGGGAGCAAGGACACATTGACTCCTGTCTTTTTATGAAATGTTTTTCTCTGCAAATGGATTGATGTCAAATCTCTGCATCTCCAAACTGCATGATGGAAAAGAGCAGAGCTGTCAGCATCTACAGTATGGAAGAGAACTTGAACGCCTACTGAATAAGGGCCACCTTTCCATCTTGGCCTTACCTTAGTAGGATAAAATCCCTGGCATTTTGATTTAGCTTGAGTGTTAGCTACGGCCTAACCCTTTGGTAATTTCTTTCACATTTCTACACTGTGAACTGTACACATTTCTACTGTCTATGGCTTGTGATTCTACAGCTCAAATGAGAACATTTTAAAATGTCAAAAGAAGAGAGATTCTCTAGATCTGATAACTAATGTTTAGCAGTGTCAGTCCTACATACATCTGCAAGAATATATAACAAAAGAGCTGAGCAAGACTTGAAGGCTTTATTGGGTGTTCAAAAACAATCTCAGGTTAGACCTTTCTTTACCTTGAGATCTTGTCATTATTGTTAATCAAAGATCTTTAAGTAAGCAAACAGACATAGAAAAAAACAGCTCCATATTACCTTTTAGAGAATTCAGTCCTATTTATTATTAACAGCTGATTTTTTTTGTAAATAAAAATACTCAGGATGCTCTTAATTTTAATTGAAATTTTAAAAAGTACAGCTAATGTCTTTGTACCATACCATCAAACACAAAAATACAGCAAATCACCAAGTTGTCAAATTCCTAGTGAAATGTTCATAAATAACACTAAAAACCTTATCTCAGTGAAATCATTGAGAGTTTTACCTTTGAAAGTGGCAAGGTTTTACTGAAACAGAACATTTTGGTATTATTTATTAATTATTTGTTTTCATTTATAGTTTAGTTCTATTCTGAGGCTTGGTAGTTTATTCATAGAAGAGTGGTGAGTCTCAAAATTAATTCAGAAGTTTACACAAATAAGCTCTGGTTGCGTTTTGTCTTATTATCCATCATTTATTAACTCTTGTAGCAATGTTGTAATGACTCAGAGGACAAAAACAATAATGTGACTCAGTGAGTGATTCTGTACTTCAAGAAAGTGAATAGAAAAAGCTATCTAAAAGCTGAAATTTGTATAAATTCTTTGGTGGATAATTATGACTAGCAAGGACATTGAAACAAAATCTGGATTATTGCAGAAGAGACTGGAAGACAGCAAAGAAAAAAGCAGCCAAGAACAATAAGTTCTTCCATGCAAAATATTGCAGTGCCTCAGCTGAGCTACTGCTGGTGTTCAGCTACCTCAAGTCAGCTAGCTTGGATACCTCTCCAAGCTGCTGCCATCCTGTCTCAATTTAGAACTGCAACCGGTTCTGAATCTCAAATCACATCAGATAGATAGAGACTCCAGCAGTTTCCAAAGTTCCATCACTCCTAACTATGTACTTTGAAATTAATAACAATAAGCTTAATAATAAGCTTAGGAAGCTTAGGAAGTTCTGCACAAACATGCGCAAGAACTTCTTTACAGCGAGGGTGATGGAGCACTGGAACAGGCTGCCCAGGGAGGTGGTGGAGTCTCCTTCTCTGGAGATGTTCAAGACCTGCCTGGATGCCTACCTGTGCGACCTGGTGTAGGGAACCTGCTTTGGCAGGGGGGTTGGACTCGATGATCTCTGGAGGTCCCTTCCAACCCCTACAATTCTGTGATTCTGTGATTCTGTGAATAACATAGAGACAAACAATGTTTTAGAAATGTCTGAAAACACATAAAGGACAAATAAAGAAGATTGAAATATTTTTTCCCCACAACAACAGCTGTAGAAATTGAAAGCTTTTGCTGGGTGCTACAGAGAGCAATTCTATCCTTAAATTTCTGCTGGTGGCTATTACCAGCTGTTTAACAGGAAGAAAAACAGGCAGAGAATGTAGATCTTTATATTAATATCTGGAACCACACTAAAATACTAAATTCTGTAGACTCTGTTTCCTTAAACAGAAGATGAAGACAACCTTTTTCTCTTGCATTACTTAACTTTTCCTTTCGTGGAACATAAATATAACACAGCCTTAGGTCAGGATAAAAATCTTAAAGACTATGTCTTGTATTGGGTGTCTGCTTCCAGTTTAGAAGACCTCTTTGCCAATGCTGACAATTTGATATGCTCTGGGGTCCACTCAAGATTCTGCTTACCTAGCTTTTGCTCTGAATTGTAACATTATAGACTACCAACTTATACTGCAGAACTGGTGATTCATGTCTGAAAGGTTTTTATCTTGTTTTGGTTCATTAATTTTTTGTTTTACTACAAAAAGTCACAGTAACTCTTGCCAAGTAAGGTTTTGAATGAAAATGTTTTATGTATGCCTCCAAAACAACAGAGCCTTTTCTTTAAATAATCCTAAAAGGTGTAATGATTGATCCACTCCGTTTGGGATATAGCTGAAGCTGGGTCAAATTCCTGATCTACTTCAAAAGGTCTTGCAAAACCTCAGCAAATGCCATGTCTACAGAGCTTCTTTTCCATTACAATGAGATTATAAAATTATTATTATACTTCACAGAAGTCTTGTAAAATTCCACACATCAAGGAGTGAGGGTACTATAAATTGCAGTAGAGAGAAGAGAAACAGCTATTTGGGCAAAAAGTAGTAGAGTAAGTAAATATTTCTGTGATAGCACTAAAGGGACTTGATGAATTATATTCAGAAGTAGTACTTCATTTCCTTGTTTTAAAAGCCTTACTCAAGATTTCAAAAGCTTGTTGTGGTTCTTGTTGTCAGTAGTTTCAAGTGGCCTCACCACCAAAACTGCAGGAAGGTTTTGTTTAGACATCTTTTTTATTTTCACAGTTTAAAATATAGTTTATACCATCATACACGTATTATTTTTAAAGGACAGAAAAGTTCAATCATAGTTCAGAATTGTAGTTACTTCAGACTTCATACTTCAGAATTGTAGAAGTTTTGTAAAAGCAGCTTTTGAAAAAATTCAGATCATCAGAAAATTTTCCTGAGATTGTTTTGTTTGTTCAAATACCAGTGAGAATTTGTGTATGCTATAGAAATGTAATGCTATAGTCTACATTATATATTTATATAATATTTAGAATATTTATACAAACTAATAAAATGGGAACAAAGACACAAATTGGGATGCAGTGAAAATTACATTTTTCTGTGGCAAGATTGTTCAACTTTTGTCAGTCAGGTCAGAATTTGATGTTTTTTTAGATGGAGATGGTTTATCTTATGAAAAGGTTTTGTTTTTTATTTTAAAGGGCATAGTTCAACTTTGGTTTGGCTTTTACTGTAAAATCCTTTTCCTACAAACAAAGTGTTCTGATTTATTGCCCTCAATAAGATCCCCCAGGCTTGCTTAAATTGTTCAGAGTGTTAGAGGTGTAATTTTTGCCAAAAACTATACTAGAATAAATATTGCATATATTTTCAATTTGTGGTAAACGTAATGCAAAGCAATTCTGGTTATTAAGCACATTGCAAGCTGGCTCTGTGCAGACCTCCCACACACATTGCTACCAAAGCACTTCAGTCCTGGCAGTTAACACCATATGATATTCCACTCTTGGGTTACCTTCTGAGTAGCAACTGCCAACTTGGTCTGCAAGATTTGGAACGTTTGAACCTATAGACCTGACAACATAGTGGGTTTTTTGATTTGTTTTATTTAGCACTATGCTTTTTTCACACGAAAATGCTATGGATATCTGTTCTCTGTGAAGGATTTCTACGGCATCCTTAACTTTGATCGCCTCCTAGAAAGTCAATTTTCTTCAGCTTTTATTTACAGTTACAGGCCACTTTCTTCCTAAATTAAGCCATTGGCTTTTCAATGCAGCTTCTATTAGCATAACAACCATGTGCTTATTGAGAATGGAAATACGTATGTTCTTCAGTCTTTTTCTGAAATTTCTTAGAGCATAAGAAAATGGTTAACTGTCTGTACAAATTGACATTTGATTATTAGAAAAAATACACTCATTTCTTTGAAATGAGAATAGCCCAAAATCTGTCTATGAAGTACAAAAATATTCCTCCTCCACAGTACTGGAAAGGAAAAGCAGCAGGTTGTGAGTAGAGAAAGGACAGTACAGCTGGTTTTATGCATTAACTTAAATTTATATTGGCTTGTTCTGTATTACACACTAGACATTTTCCAGTGTTGTTCCATAGTAATCAGATGAAGAAATCTCAAACATGGAGAAAACGGGCAAAGTGAGGAGAGGCTGCTTTGGAAAGCGAATGGAGACCAGTAAACACATTCTTCACTTTATTCTACCTTGCCCTCTCTCATCAGTGCTATGAAAGCTCAGTGCTACGAAAGCTCAGTGTCGCATGTAGCTCTGGATCATTTGCCATAGCAACCAAATAAATTTGTGCATGCCTAACAAGGTAAAGTATTGTCCAGTCATACTTCCTTCACAATCTTGCTGTCAAAAAAGATTTGTAATAAGGACAGCTCTCATTACAGTCAGAGAAATTCAGAGCCCCAGACTTTCTGAGAGAAACCTAAAAAAAAAAAAGAACACTGTTACTGCATACATGTGGAAATACTTTACTTGTTTTGGAAATATAATTAACTGTAGGATTAGAGAAAAATACTGAATTAATGCTACTGAAAAGACTACCTGCCACGTACGCACCCATAAAATCAAAAATAAAGAAAAACACATCCAGCTGAAGCAGCACAGAGAATCCTAATTTCATTCGACAGAGTATTTAATGTGATCCTGTGACACTTTATGTTGAACTCACAGTCCAGTCAAACAGTAGAAAGTAAAAATGTTTTCAGAAACAAATCCTTCCACAAGGCATGCTGGTTTTTGGATTCAAATAAAATTGAGGTACATTATTCTTTTTAAAATGTGGCAGCCGTAGAACTCATCCTTTTAGTTCAAATGCCATAGGGTTTGCTTTTCCTCATTCCTTTGGCTGGTTGCACTAAAAGAAGCTCTCTGATGTTGAGGCTTATGATTTTTTCTGGGACTGGGATGGTGCAGTTCTCATACAGCTCTACATGGGACCACAGTATCTGTCCACTTGCTGCGCTCAGCTGGTGTGCCTGCTATGTTCCTTTCTTTTCACATACAGTTAATTTCTAAAATTAAAATCAATGTACTTACAGGAGAAACAATAAACCAGTAGAGTGCTGATATAGGTTTATCTCTAAACACCCTGCTTGGTAGGAACTGGTTTATTTACTGGATTTATCTGAGCAGTTCGTCAGTAAGGGATTAATATTTATCCAGTTCTGGTTCATTCTCTAGTTCTGTCTCTGTCCAAACCAGTTTATCAGGCTGATCAGGACACTGAGCCCAACCTTCTTAGCCCCCCAGTTATATCATTAACAGCACTCATGTGCCTGCCGAGGTGCGACTAATCTTGAAGTCTTCCTTCCTTGTTTTTAAATTTAATAAAAAGAGCTAATTTGCAAGATAAACAGTCCATTAACCTAGTCAAATGTTCTGCTTTTGTCCTCTTTGCTTCTGTGCTGCCCTCCATTCTTAATACTTATTCCTCTCCATCTTCTCATCCCTTTGCTAACTGATGGCTTTCCTGTCCAATTTGGCAACAGACCAAAGAACATATTTTAGTGTAAATAATTCCTACACATGGGTGCACTGGGATTAGTAGTTGCCCACTTGCATCATTCACCTCTGTACATCCTCATAGTAGCAACAAAAATGAATTTAAATGGAAAAGATTCTTCTTCCTTTCTTGAACATTCCTTTACTTCTCACTGGTTTCTGAAATTTCATATTTATCCTGTCTCCTTATCTTTTCTTCAATAACAAATACAGGCAGGACAACCAGAAAACTTGTGCCATTTAGTGATAGGACAAGGAGGAATAGTTTTAAATTAAAAAAAGAGGAGATTCAGATTAGATGTCAGAGGTAAATCATTTATTCAGTGGGCAGTGAGGCACCAGCACAGGCTGCCCAAAGAAACTGTTGGTGCCCCATCTCTGGAGGCACTCAAGACCAGGTTGGATGGGGCCCCAGGCAGCCTGAGCAGGGGTTGGGTGGATTTCAAGGTCTCTTCCAACCTAAGTCATTCTGTAGTTCTAAGATTCTGTAATTCTACATTAAGATAAGAGTTCAATTATCCAGAGAAAATCATTTTGTGCACCTTGTTCCAAGAAAAGCAGAATCATAGCTCAGCAGGTAGTGCTAGATTAAATGGCCATTAGAAAATGAGGAGAGTACTGGGAAAATATTGATTATGTGGCCATTTTGGGGGAAGGAGGACTGATGCCCTGTTTGTGTTGACACAGTTCTGCAACCTTTTCTACACGACAACCATGCTAATCCTATGTTGGAGTCTGACAGATTTATACACCACAGTTAGACTTTCCACATAGCCATGCACATTTCTTATCTCCAATGAAGTAATGTTTTGTTGCAAAGTAAACATACACTGGTATCTTCGGGTGTACATGACCTTATGTCAGACCTAGCCATCCTTGTAAAAGAGTGTAAGATAATATCCAAATACAATATCTTGTCAAAGGAAATAGAAGAAAGTATTTCTGTGGCAATTCCCATGTTAAACTATCAAGATACAGTGTGTCATATGTGCAGGAACAAAATTGAAAGTGCTTTTTAAGTGTAAGAAATTGTTCCATTCACCTCTCAGGGAAGAGAGCTTTCACACAGAAAATAAAAGCTGCTTTTCTGTGTTGATCTGATTATCTGTGGCAAGGGAACCCAACCTGTTCTTGCAATTGAATGAAAAAAAAAGCAATGAAAATCAGTAGCACAAGAAACAAACATGAGAAAAGGTGCTGAAAAAGCGTGATGCAGTACAGCAATCTTTTTTTGTAATTCCTTTACTCATTACTAAAACATTTTGATTCAGAAGAATGAAACAATTTTGCTGCAACAAGATTCATTATGTAAACTCCTCAGGGCAAAGATCCAGTGTTTGTTATTGTTATTTTTTGCATTCACACAGATCCCAGACTCAACTGAAGCTTCTGGATGCTAGTATAATACAAATATGACTGCTGCTAACACTAATAACTCTGGTAGCAAGTGTTACAAAAACATTTGTAACAAACAAAACTGATAAAATTCTTCCCCTAAGAAAAACAAGAATTTAAAATCATTTTTAGGGTAAACTGCATTCTCAGGACACACTTCCCTACCCAAAGCATAAGGTTCTTCCTTGTCCCTTTATCTTCTCTTCAAATTCTAACAGCTTCTTTCTCACATGTGACATTGTACCTTATTGCAGACTTCTCTCCTCCTTCTGGACAAGTTCCACCCTTCAACCATTCACCCCCAGGCTCTATTTTCCCTCTCCCATGATGCATGTGGCACTTATCTCAATCCCCATGCAACCCTGGAAATGGGATAAGGTACTGTCCAGTGTGCACCATTCTAACCTTTTTCCTGGATTAACAACATCTCAGTTTTCCCCTCCTTCAGTCTCATATCTATTTTCCTTTTCTTACCCCATGGACAACTTAGCTAATTGAGGATCCTGAGACTACTATGCTGACATGAAACTAGCAAGTCAGCATAATGTGCTGCTATCTTGTAGAGGATAAAAGAAACTACACCTACTATTTAAGAATTTAAACATGTTTTATTCCCTTTCCAAACTGTTTCTCCTTTCCATCTTCTAGTTTTCATTGCTAGATTGTTTTTTGTTTGTTTGGTGTTCCCCCCCCCCCCCACCTCATCTTCCTAGTGCATAGCATTCCTCCCTTCTCTGCTGAAAGATTCTGTGTGTGTTTTTTTGGATGCAGAAAGCTGTAATGTTCCACCCACTGCATTGCAGTTGTGATGAGGAAGCATTCTGTAAAATACAGGACTCCCAGAAGATCTGAAATATGATTATATATAATTCGTAAACTGTTAATATGTTATAATATTTATTTAGGCATCATAGATGAAAATAAATAGTGGCATTGTTCCCCCTACAAGGACTATACTTCATTTATTTGAAGAGTTTGGCTTTTTTCTACTTCATTCCATTATCCTTATTTCTTAGCGTCCACTCTCTTGCTGCAGAAGTTACATGAGTTTATCCTTTATGGCTGAGAGGCAGAGCTTGCCTTCTGTCTGAGTCCAAGTGAAGACTTAGAGTGGGCTTCCTCTTTCCTGTCTAGCCCAGCCCATGAGCCATCACTGCTGGAAGTGTAGCAAAGCTAATTTAAAAAGTCTTGACAACTGCTACTCCCCTAGACAATTTTCACAAGGCCTGATGAGTAAAGTTCAGACCATAAAAGTAGGTCCACTGTAATAAATATAATGCCGTGCTCTCAGATTCTCTTCAAAATGAGTTACAATCACAGGAGCCACCAGAGGAACAACCTAACTGTGTGGTCAACAGATGAGATTTTCACATTCAACACCTTTTGTGTATTCTAGGAATATTTTTCTAGCAATATGAATATTATTCTAACAATAATTGAGCTATTTTTTGTTATTTTAATATAGATTTTCCTTCTTGATTTGCTGTAGTTAAAAGCAATGAAGCTGCAATGCATATAGGAAGAATATCAGAAAGGAAACTTGCTGGAAAGGTAAGGAGGGAAGAAAGTAGGAAAGGGAAGAGAAAGAGACGAAATAGAGAGAGAAAGGGAAGGAGAAAGTGAATAAAACTCCAAATTTCTATTTCTATCCACTCCCCTGAAGGAACAAGTGATGCAATACTTGCTTTCTTTCTTTTTGGTTGGTTTGTTTTAAATTATTTCTTTTAAGACAAATAATAGATTTTTCGTCCAAAACCATGTACACACAGCATATAGAGAGTAGTATTAGAATAACAACAGAATTCACGATACGCTTGTTTCTACATTATCTATTTGAAAAATTAGTTTAGTAAGTGAAGTACTTTATCTCTTGGCTACATGCAGTTCATTGTTTTCCTATAGGTGATGACAGATCTCTTTCTTGTCACACTTGAGATCTGGCAAACAGTTATTTGGTGCTGTTTAAGGCAAGTGAAAAAAATATAAACCTGATTCAGAAAATACTGGAAGGTGAAAGGCAGAAAGATATATGTTTACATTTTAGCAGGAAAGAAAAGATGAAGATTAAGAGAAAGTTTCAGCCTACAACTGTTTCCTACTTCTAATGGATGTGTTTAATGAAAGGATTTCTAAATGCAAAGCATAAGTTTCAGCTTTCATCTTATGAGACTTATAGTCTGGGCCTGTGACAAGACAATAATTACAGCCACATCCATTATAGCTGTATTTTATCTTTAATTGGTATGGCATGCTTACATTAATTTGATATTTATTTGTTCACCTATGCAAAGGCCTCTGGAGGACATTAAGTATTATACCTCATGCTCTGTGTCTCACACTCTTTAGTACTGCATTCTTTCTCATTAAAACATGAGCAGTTCCTAAAAAACTTCTTGACCAAAAATAATAATAATAATAATAATAATCTGGAAACCATTAAACTCTTACTGGAGGACTGTGTTCATTCAGTTGCAATTACAGTTGAGAAAGACTTAATTTTCTAGTTTTGTCCAGAACAGAGAATTATCCACAAGGTAGGTAAGTAAAAACGAGTATTTGGTATGCAAAAAGATTTAGTTTGAGTTGTGTTATTAAAACTCACCTTAAGTGAAGTGCCAGGGGATTTCATAATTAACAGATAAAGAAGAATGCTATGGCTTCCTACCTTTGGTGCAAAAGTTGACAGACAAATTGGCAACAACTTGCAGAAGGTACAGCCAACATTCTTCTTCAGGAGTAAGTAATCTATTCATTGAACCCAGTAGCTTCCTCCTAGAAAGAAAGGCAGTGGTGAGACCACCTTGATGGGTACTGACAAACCTGCCTTTAACACCTGTTCTCATTCTGGAAAATTACAGAGAAGTTGGAGTTACACTGCTGTTACTACAATGGGCTTCCCTTACTCTGTATTCAGACAGTAAAGCTAACAGTCAACACTGACTTGAAACAATTTCCCAGAGTGCTTGGGAATCTTGCCAGATACTTATCATCTTGATCACACCCAGTACAGTAAATCATGTAGAAGATTCATTTGATCTTTTGATTATTTTCCTCTGAAAAAGGATTCTGGTATGGGCACCTTGACACCCCTTTTCTGACAGGAACCCATTTGGGTATATTCTTCAGTTGCTGCTACTTAAAAACACAGCAAACAGATAAAACCAAACCAAAACACATGTGAGCTGAGAAAGCCAAGAGTGCAATCTTAGTTGTGTAAGAAAACAAATAAAGCAGATATATCTACTGTTTTCTAGAAAAGATTTGCTCTTATAAATTCATAAATTCATGCATAGGGGAAAAAAAGCAGTTCATACTATCTGCTACATACACCTGGAGTTGAAATTCTTATGGGAGAAGATGCTGCTTGAGAAAAGAAAACAATATACTTACCCTGATACTTCACAAGGATTCTAGCATAAAAGTAAAATGACTGTGCCCTTCCCCCATTATTTTCCCCTTTCTTGAGCATAGAAATTCTGTGTAAGCAGATGATAGCTACAGCCAAACAAAAATACAGTTCAACTCTTTCTTTAGCTCCCAAATAAAAACAAGGAGATTGATTTTTTTTTTTTCCAGGATTGATGTTTTAAGCAATATTTACACATCCAAAAATTGAGAAGAAAACAAGTTTAAATACTTGTTCTTAGCTATTTTTTGAGCTTACCATTATGAAATTATTATTCCAATCTAGAATCAGGAAAAAACCCACCAACCCTTCAGTAATGCTATAGTGCAATGGAAAGCACAGCAACAAGAGCAGTGTGGCAAAGACTTTTGCTGCAGCAAACAAGAAAGAGACTAAGTGCAACAGCCATGTTTACAGAAAGAAAGTGGAGAAGAAAAAAAAAAAAAAACAACAACAAAAAAGCTGCTTACATTTAGTAGACCTCAGGTATACAGGGATCTTCAGAGAGAATTCTTGCCCTTTGGTGCTAACCCTTAAATGAGGTCTGGGAAGGGGTAGATCCTGGCCCAACCCTTTCGGTCACTGAGGTGCATTGCATTCACCTGAGCTCCCCTGAATTGGCTTGCCTTCCCACCAGATGTTCAATCAGTGGTTCAGGCCATGACTTACTATTTCTGCTACACCTTACCTTATAATTCTGATTTACAACTCTAAAGGGTATCCCTAAATGGAATTCAAATTCTCCTTTCTTATCTTATATCCACTGTGCTTCTATTTCAGCCTCTTACGCCTTAAGTTTATAATATAATATAAATTATGGTTTTTGAATAATTTCTTCAACATGTTCTCCCTAGTTTTAACCTTTTGATCTCAAATTTCCCCCGCTGAGTACCAACCCAACACCAACTGTGTTGAGTTTCTAGTTAAAATACTATGTAAGAACCTAAAAGGTCTATTTCCCACATATTAAAATTCTTACAGCAGTTTCGCGCAGAACAGTTTCGGCCTCCACACTTGGAAATTCAGACGATAAATGAATTCTCTGTGTTTTTACACCTCAAAAAAGGCAACTTCAGCTCAACAAGTTGAAAACATCTGAAAAAAACTGCAGTCCATGTGTGCTTGAGATAGAGCCTTTGGAGGTCTTCAGCTAAATTTTCCAAAAAGTCTGACTGCAGTGTGCATACACAAAGCAATACAGACTTGTTCTGAATTTCTATAATCTGTTGTAAGATAGTGTGCTAGACTATATGGTGAGATCAAAGAAAATAATTGCCATCTTAGCCTCCTAATATTCTACATTCCAATACTAATACTGCCCTTGCAGAGGTTGAGGCAGGTGGCCCCTCATTCTTTGGAGATGGAAAAAAAAACAGGAATCATGTGATCATATAATTGAAGAATGTAAATCATATACAAAAGTGAGTCAAATTACAGGAAACTGCTGGTTTTGTTCCTTATTTCAACTATCTTTTATCAAAATTTACTTTCTTTTGACTTTATTTTTTAAATATATGTTATTGAACAATTTTGTCTTCATTCTCCAGTCATCCAGCTTTATGGGGAAAGGCCCTCTTCTGTTGATCAGTCATGATCCATGACTGATCCATGACCAGTCATGATCCGTGAAATGCATAAAATGTATAGGTTTAAGTCCGTATCAGCTCAAACCATTGATAGTTTCCTTTTCAACACAAAAAGCTGGACTACTTATGGCCTCTTTTCTGTGGCAGTCTATACCTGTAGGCAATGGATGATGGTCAGTTGCTTGGTCAAGAATTAGAATATTAATACTGATTTGTTTGACTCTTTATTTTCCCAGCATAAACCCAGCACTAGTCTCCGCGTTCACCTTTGTTTTTCCCTACAAAAAGGGAATATAAATTAATGTTCTCCTTTTATCCAGAAGTATGTGATTACACAACTCTGTCAGCTGTAATCAGCCCTCAAAACACTTGAAGTTTTCACTGTACTTATTTTATTAATATGAAACAAATCTGACATCCCACATAAAAACAATTATTAAGCTGAACTTTTGTTGCCATCCAGAGCCACAAATCCATTTAAATATCTAATGGGTCATTTTTTTTTAAACCAACCACTTCAATTTCAACAACAAAATCCTAATGTGACCACCTAAGGCACTGACAACAAGCAACAGTTCCTCAGCACTTTCTAAAACCTCAGCTCCCCACATATATACGTAAAAGCTGTACCTTTTTTTCAAAAGCTGATACCCTTTTTTTTCATTACAAATATAGGCAGCAAAGTTCACCAAATATAATTTCAGATAGGTTTTAATGCAAAATAAGTGGTCAAAGAGTGGCTTTCCAATTGCTGTCCCTTTAGGAACATCAACTGCACCCATGCTTCCCTCTCACAAATACTGCATTAAAGTAAAATCTTCTCCGAGCTTAAAAAGACCTTCAACAAAATACATCTGCAGTTCAGTTATCAACATCTGGTGACAAAATACGTAACAACAGCACATCAGAAAAGCACTGAATCCAGTCAGAATTGAGTTAAATATTTATCCTGATTAATTATAAAATTCTCAGTGTCTTCTGTGTTATTTTTAGAACTTCGATTTAATACAGACAAAGGCAGTGAGAGGAAGAATTTGGTGCAGGATAAAAGATGGTTTTTATGCTCAGTGCAGCATTTGATGCTAAGGAACGTGCTATATCAATTCTGCAACAAAATGTAGCATGTAATGCTTTCCTGTGCAGAAAGCAGCAGAGCAGCTTTCCACGGCGGTCACTCTTTGCCCTTCACACACACCTCATCCACCAACTGGATCTATCTTGGAGGAGAGACCTTAAATTCCTGCAAGCGGCTGTAAGGCACATGCAGTAGCAGCAGTGTACTGACATTTGCTAAGCACCAGTGTCCCTCAAGTGACTGGGAGCGAAGCCATTGACGTCACTGAACAATAGGCAAAATATTTCCTCCTCCTCCATAGTCCTGAACTGTAAACACCCAGCTTGCACACAGCAGGCTGAACATTTGGGGAGAGGCAGAGAAGGAGAATGTGAAAAACTCTCAAGTGATGCTGCTGAAAACAAGCAGCTGTTCCTGCATAACCAGCCTCTTCTTGTCCCTTCCATTTTGCTTGTGAAGGTGTCTCCTTAGTGCAAGTCACATGGTGGAGAAGATAAAGCTGAAATATGCTATTAATAAAACTGTGTCTCCTGAACTCACAAGGATTTTTTGAAAGTAAAATGCCTGACATAAATTAGAAAAGAAAAAAAGGAGAAGGGAAAAAAAAAAGAAAAAAACATTCTCTCCCTCTTTCTTTCTCCTTTGTGCATTATTATGGTACTTCAACAGTCATCCACATATTTTGGGCAGGATGAGGTGGGCTGCATATAGTGAATTTCAGTCTTGGTCATACTGCTCACTGTCACACGTCATTGCAAACCAAAGGAAAAGGAAGGGTAACATTTTTGTCTTCAGAATTACAATTACAAAGTCACACAAATGAGTATATGTTCTGGATTCACTGTAAATTCTGTTTTAAGCCCTTAACCTGTTATGCTTCAGCATAAGCAGAAAATGAAAAGGCGGAGTTAATCCTGAAAAGTGAAACCTAAGTGCAGCTTCTTGTAGCTATGTATTAGAAATAATGATGCAGAGATTTGTTAGGACTTGTCAGTAGTTGAAAAGAACTGGCAAAATGTGAATACAGCAAATCTTATTTGCTTTTTTAAAAAAAATTATTTAATTTTTTTTTTTTAGCAGTCTTTCAGTACGAGCTGCAGTCCTACAGGTGGTAAAACTTCCCTATTTTCAGAGCATCCCTGGAAGACCCTTAGAGTGAAGGAGGAGAAGCACAGGGGGTGGTATGGCACTGAACAGAGCCTGGACATGCTGTATCTCTCAAAATGCGGCACTAGGGAGGCCTGAAAGCTGCTGCAACCTACCTCAGGGAATGCTGTGTCAGAAAGAGAAATTGATTTTTTTCCAAAACTTCCTTGAATTCTAAAGCCAACATTTAAGGAAATCCTAAGAAATATCACATAATGTGACTTTTTTTTTTTTTTTTTTTTTTTTTTTTTTAAATGCTTCTCTGAAAATACTGCCTAATACGCCTGTAGAGGACCTTGGAGTGCCAAAGAAAATATTTGTGTCATCGGCTTACTAAATGAATAGTCATATCTATGGAAGCCAAAATGATTCAGGTGATCACCATTTATATCCTCCTCTTACTTCATTTAGGTTTGCTCACTTTGCCCACAGGAGATGGTGGAAAAGCCCTCTTCCATCACACTTATTCTCCAGACAGACACCAAGGAGTCATCCACACCACCTGGTTCTACAGAGGGCAGCATTATGAGCCAGGGAGAGGCATCATTTTTTTCCTGTCCAATGCTGCTCTCTGTTGAATGAAGCTGTAGGTGGCACATCGTATTTGCAGTATATATTGATTTATGATTTCAAAGTGCTGAACAAACAACCCATTCTTCCAAGCAGACTGCAATTAATGACTCATTAGCCCCACTTTAATATGCAGGAAAAGTGGGGGACAGTGGTTGCACAATTAATCTGCTAGGCCGCTAGGCATTAAGGATGCCATATTCTGCCGCTCTGCCTGTGCTGCTTTAGCTTCACTGCTTGAAGCATCCAAGTGGAGGAGAAGAAAGAACCTCATAATCTCTTCTGTGCTGCTGCACTTCTGGGCTTTGACACCTCCTGTGCACACATTCTGTCCTGTGAGTCGATGCACTGGCACTGAACTCCACATCTGGCTTGTGCTTTCTCTACAGCAGCTGAAATGCAGCTTCTCATCTTCCCAGGGAAAGGATGCGTTGCAAGGAAACAGTCAGTTGGATTGTTTTCTCTTCCTTCTTTCTTTGACAGTTTTGTCTTGCCATGGGCTGCTCTTCTGTCGGATGTCTCTCCTTTCTGCTGGAGAACTTGGTGTCAAAATCGAACTGTACTGGGACAGAAATAAGCCAATTGAGTGAGTAAATAGATGCCTGGAAAGACCAGGTACCATCAAACAAGTATGTGTAAAATTGACACAAGATGCTTTTTTCCTGCTCTAATAGACTCATACCCATGTTTTAATTGTACCCAAACGACCATCTGTTATGAAGAGCAGTGTGCTTGCTTCACTGACGTAATTCTTATTGGAGTCTAGGAAAGCCTTGTGCTGCTTTGGGAAGCCAAGATGCTAGGAACATTTATTTCATTCATAGTAATGCAATTTTAGAACATACCTTTAGGCAAACATTTGTGCATTTTAGTACAAATATTCATGGAGAACACATATTCTTGGTTGCTTGCCCATATTGATATGAATTTGATAAACACTCATTCTTAGTAGCTTCCAAGGTTTTCTGCCTTTTCCCTTTGTCATTGATGAAAGCAGATATTTCTCAGTAAATATTGTGTTTGGACACATCAACATTTCAAGTTACTGCCTGAAAATGTGTGTTGAAGGAGTAAAGGATCGAGGAGAAACAAGAGAAATAAAAATGAAAGAAGCCTTTCTTCTATGAATAAAATTGATTTTTCTGTTTTTGTAACTCAAAACATGAATAGGTGAATGAATTCTACACAAATTCAGCTTCATGCAGAGCCTGGGAAAAGGTGGTGAAAGTACTGGAAAAGTGTGCTCTGCAATCAAGTCTCCTAGAATTTTAACATTGGTGAATTTGCATACAATTAAAAGGTAATGGAACATAACATTTCCTTAAGTTCCCATCTAATCTGAAACACTAGAAAGTGTAATTTATTAAAAAGAGCATAAGCAGCATTTTCCCTTCCTTTAATCAGACCTATGACAATCAGAAAAATCAAAAGTAAATCTAAACCACATGCGTATAATTCAAAACATAAACAGATTCTTTAGCTTATATACATACTGTGAGAAAATACTTGGGTGAAAAGCATCACTGTTCTCCTGGGAAACAATGGCAGAGACATTGTATGACTGAATTTCCAGAGACTGACATTTCTTTACAGAGCAACATATAAAACATTTATTGTTTAAATCCTGCTCTAAAATCTATCATGTTGTGGGCATTTTGACCATGTTGAATTAATCCTTCTTTTTTCTTAACGAGTACTTCAGCACTCATGAGAAGGAAGATTATTAAAAAAGCAGCTTTTATGTGTCCAAAAGCTCTTGACGTTCTTAGGTTAATTATTTAAGTGTCATTAGAATTTAGAAATTCATAATTGAGACTCAGATTGTGAATTTTGGCAAATATACTACCACCAGAGTTCTAGACTGAAATGCAGTGTGTGAAGTAGGCTTTGCTACTTAAAGTAACTGAAGAAATACTTCTCCTCTTCACCAGAAAAATAAGAGTTTTGACATGGAAAGCAAAACATTCTCTGAATAGCTTATTGAACTTTTCTGGAGGTCCTCTTGAGTTCATGTTGCTGTTGACACTGAAGCATTACATGATTGGTCAGAATTTCCAGTCTTTACCTAACAGCTGGATGTCTATCCCCAGCAAGAGTACCTATGTTACAATCATAAATTGGATGGAGCAGATAAAAAACTATCAACTGTGACTGAAATCAGATCAACAATAATAAAAATGAAAGAAAAAAAAAATCATGTTCCTTTACAGTAATTTTCAGATTACTGAAAATTTGGTCCCCAAAACTTCAGTGTCTCAGATCAGAAAAATCTTAAGAACTGTAAAATTAAAGCAAAGAGTGATTTTTATTTCTTGGAATAATTGAACTCATTAGATATATTACAAAAAGTATATTGATATTTCTGGCCCTGTTTTTGAAATAGAAGAAACACAAATAAACACATACCTAATAGAAAGTATTCAGAAGCCTTACTCAACTATGAAAGAAATGTTGAATTTCATCTTCCTCTGAGAATATAAGTTCATTTTTAACCAGTAACTACTGCACTGTAGAAACTGATTATACTGCTGTTGAAGACAGTAAAGACGACACATAAAGGAAATAAAGCACAGGTAGGTCTATTGCTCTCACCCTGACTAATTGCATGTTTAAAATTAGACATTCATTAAAGAGCCCTTAATTGAAGTACAGAGGGAAGAGGATTAGTTCCTAAAAAAACTGTCATTATTCATTGCTGTGTGTATAAGGAAAGCTTCTTTCCTGGCTCTGCATCCTGCGTGGTAGGTCAGAGAAGATAAATTCTTATTGTGAGCACAGTGGCTTCAGCTCATGGAAGCTTCCAATATGGCAACAGCATATATTTCCTTTTGTAGTAAATTAATATAACTCCCATAATAAAAAACGATCTGTCAGAGACCAGAACTCCTAGGAAACCTCATACAGAGACTGAATATGTTCTCTATATACTTTTTTATTTCCTTAGTATGTAGCTAAAGGAAATACAATGAAATTAATGTAAAACTCAAGAAACTCTATGTTGTACACAATCAAACACTGATAGAGGCTGAGTTGCTGACATGCAAGGTCATAGCAGCTGTGCTAAGTCTTGGCTTATCCTCAAGGTTGCCCTGACATTCCTGGTGTTACTTATAATTTTGGAAGTTAAGAGCAGATTTATTTACTTAATAGGAGGTTCAATCTATTGCTCTAGAGCTACCTTACTGGAAAAGCTGGTGTATATCAAAGGTTCATGTTTATGAAAATATAAGGCAAGCAAAATAAATCAAAAAGAAAACTCACTGAGAACTTTGAGAGGTACCGGTAAAGAACAACATACTTCTTTTGGCTAGATATTCATTGTAGATTGAGATGAAGAACATGATTTCGTCCAACATTTTTGTGGTTAATTTGCTGCCAGGATGTTTATATGAAGTAAATAGCTGAAATTGGAAATTTGATTCTCTACTTACCAGTAATATCTCTAATCTGAAAAGCATTTCATGAGTTTAACTCAGAACCTGGCTTATGTGCATCTAGGATTTCACATTTGCTACAATTAATTTCATAATTTTCTCCTTGTTCTGGTCATACGTTGCCACATGTCTCTTCCACACAAATGCAAAGGAAGAAAGAAAAAGAGGTTAAAATATCATTACCCAAACACTTATTTTTTTATTTTTTCAGCTTTTCAAAACAATTGTATTACCTGCAAGACTTTACTGCACAAACTCTTTGGATTGAATTTAGTCAATAAGAAGTGTTAAAGAGAACAGAAGTTCATCCTACATGAGAGTAAAAATCATGTTCATATAGCACTTGCCTCATGCTTTAGGCATATACCAGCAAAACTGCTAAACTGCAGACACTGAGCATCAAACTCACAGAGTGGATATTCTACAAGGATGCAGGGAAAAAGGATAATTCATAGCTATCAATAAAGGTTTTAAGTCTTTCTTATAGAAGAGAGCTACTAAATTACAACCATACAATTGCAATCTGAAGCCATATGATTTCCAACCTGTCACAGAATCTTATCATTTTGATGGCATTTTCATCTTTGCAAAGGTCAGAAATCTGAAATAGAGCACCATTATCTCATAATGAGTATTGAGAGAGATAGATCCCTTATGTGTCTGCATAGTTTGTTATTAGAAACACTACTGTGGACAAAATCTTAATTGCTTGCCATAAAATGCTAATCTTATTTTTTCTTTAAGGGAAAAGTATTTGTCAAAAAGGTACACCTTAAACTGAGCCACAAAAAAATAAGGCTTTTTAAAATAAGGCTTTCAGAATACATTATTTATGTATCAAAAATTCACATTTTTAATTCTTAAGAGCTGGAGAAGTTTTTCTTTTCATAATGGCACACCACTGTTAATCAAAAGGTCTACTCTGTATTTCATGGAATAAAGCCAAGATAAAATCACGTTTCACCTGAAGGGCAAGGCAAATGAGCTCTCTTGTTTATCATCTACTTCAAGTTGGTTTTTTTTTTTTTTTTTTTTTTTCCCTAAGAATATTTGAATTTTGTCTCTTAAATTACACTAAGACGCTGCTGGAACTTACGCTGCCCTCTGCTGGAAAGAATACATTTGGCCTTTTCATGAAAAAACAGCGCAGTGAGTAAGGGCCGATGTTTCTAGACCCCAAAGCTGGGTGTTCCCCTTTGGCGAAGCCTGCAAGCAGTTGGCATGGTCTGTGTATCCACAGGCAGATGTTTGATCTACAGATAACGACAAATAAACATTGAATTTTACAAAAGTAAATGAACATTGAATTCAAGAAAGTAAAAACTAGAAGACTGTATGGTTAAGTTCCCCAAAGTCAGGAAATGCCAGAGGTGAAGTTTCAAATGGAAATGTGACTCTAATCCCACGCGTGTATGCATTTACAGGGCAGATTTTAATTATATGGGGGAAAATCTAATTATTTATTCTACATAATTTGGAGATGTTCTTCAATTTAGGTAGCTTTCAGTTTGGTTAGCCATATGCAGGAATTTGCCTGAATCTATTCTTTACATTAAACTCCCCAAAGGTGCTTGCTTGCTTTTTGTTATTGAAAGCAGCCCATCCATAAACATCAGATGCAAAACAAACTCATTCATAAGCAGACTGAGAACACAAATCTGAATTGCTGGAATAGACTCATTTTTAATTAACAAATTATTTAGTAGAATAAAACATTTAGCCACCACTTACTGTCAAGCCAAATCACTTTCCATAAATAGAATTTTGCACAAGCAAGGGGCAATTAGATCAGGACAAGCCTCATTGTGTAACCATTGTGTAACCACCTATCTACCTACAGTGAATGAAGGATGAATTAAAAACATTTGTACAAACATAAATGGTTGAAGGAAAACAAGTGAATGTCTCTACCATGCTCTTTCAAAAAAAGTAGGCAATAAAGCAGCGCTGATTAAACTTTTACTGTATATCTCCACGTTTCTGACAGGTACAGGTTTTCTTTAGAAACTGATATGAAAAAAAAGGCTGATAAAAGAGACTGGGAAGCAAACAGTATACAGAAGGGAAAGTCTTCCTTTATTTCTTAGTTCTGGTTTTGATTTAGCTTGCATGATGGATCTGGAAACCACTTCTCCTATTCTGAATTCATTCTGAGGAATGGAGGGGAAAATGAGAATTAAAGAACTTCCTTGCTTCAGTTTGAGGTAGTCTGATTAATCTTTATTTACGGATAAACAATGAAAAATAGCACACATGCTGCTGTGTTCAAGGTCATACATATCCTGTACATGACACAGATATCAGATCTATTTTTAAATCATTTACATGTATTAAATGTGCCGTTCTGCAATCAGACACCTAAAGTTAGGCACAAACTACACACAAAGGCATACCTTTGTTTAAAATCATACCCCAGACGCAATCTAGTTATTCAAGTCTTAATCAGAAACCAGAGTTGTAGTTCATTTGCAGCTGATTTTTGTCAGACTAAATTTCATTTTACAGAGCGTTTCAGTAACATGAGCAAACCCCAGGCAGCAGGAGTTTGGTACAGGCTGGAGAAGCCCTTTCCCTGTGTTACCTGGAGGCAGCACAGTGTTCAGCAAGTCTCTTGGATCCAAGCAGATGTGGTGGAAAATGTAATTAAACGGATTTATTTTTTTTTTTTCTGGGGCTGGTGGTTTTGCATTGCTCTGGAGCAGAAATGCCAATAAAGCAGCAATAGACACAGCCGTGTTTTGTTGCGGAGCAGTCAGAGTACAGAGCGTACGCACAAAGCATGTTCATGGAACCCAGGCCTGGGGACGTGTCTAAGCCAGTGCTAGCAGCACAGCTGGGTAGTATGGCATGCGTGCTTAAAGGCCTCCATCAAAGACTTTTACGGTTTGTTCCCATAATTTAAACCCATGAAGGAAAACAAAACCGTCCTGACTTCCTTACCAAGGGAAGTTCCTGATCTGAGTACATCTGTCTGACATGTGCCTATCCCTTCTTCCAGGTCCTGCAGCTTTCCAGCAAGCAAGCCGCAGAGCTGTTTCCCACTCATTCAGACAGGAAAATCCAGCAGTACAAGAATATATTTTTCTTTCCCTTCAGCTAAACCTCTGCCCATCTTCATGTTGTGGGCCTTGCTATAATAGAGGGATTCTTCTCTGTACATATAGGAAAAAGGAAACTGTCCAGAAGCACACAGTGATCTCATTGCTGTATCACTTTTCCCACTAGCCTATTTTGGACTCCAGGGTAGGATCCTGGGGCTTAAAGACACCCGAGCGCCTGACTGACCTTCTGTTCTCTCCCTTGGTTCTTGGTACTGTGCAAATGAATCCAGAAACCTGCAGATGTTTCGGGTAACATAACATTTGACTGTTAACAAATGTGGCATTGCCTTCATTAGTGATTTCCTCCTTGATTCTGTGACACATAGTGGAATGCTGTGGCAGCTGATGAAGGGAAACTATCTCAGTCTTAAATCTAGATGAAATTACTGTTACTTTGTGTGCATACAGAACTAGCATGAAAATCAAGTTTTAAAAGAAAGAACAACAAAAACAAAGGCAAAAACCACTCGACTTAACTAGAAATGACTGTGGAAGGAATGTTTGAAAAAGAAATTCTAATTTCCAGAACCAATTTAAAACTTCAATGGCCGAAGCAAGCAAAGAGAGTCTTGTGAAATCATTTGTCCTCTGATAACACCTCAGAAGCGCTGACGTGTGGAATAATACATAATATTTCTCACATTTCTTTCTTACCATATAAGAGAAATGCATTACTTTCTAGAAGTTTTGAGAAAGGAAGAATTATTCTTGCTTGTGTTCTTCTATTCTTCTGTGAGTAAGTTATTAAGGAAAGCTATGTTAAGAAATGAGTTTCAGTATAAAAATGTCTTCTTCTACAATCACAAGGCATAGGATAGGGAAGGAGGAAAGCAATAAATTGCCAGGTCTTCATTCAGCTACATGAAAAATTATGTTTTTCTATTGGTTCATTGCTTATATATTCCAATTAAATGCAGCTTTTATGAGACTTCTGCAAAAGAAGAATCTCCCTACCCAGTAATTTGAGCTGGTTTAAGGGAAGTTCTGAATTCTAAACCAAAAATCTTCCAATTGACTTGGAAACTTGCATAGACAGCAGAACACCAAGCTGGTGAGCTCTTTGCAGTCTGTGTTGCTAGGGAGACCAGGAGCTGATTTTGGAGAGCAATGTAAGTACATTTATATAATAAGGAGTTGCAAGTTTCAGTGCCACAAGTGTACAGATTTCTCTGGTAAAATGTACTGGAAATATTAGAGAGGTATAGGGTGCTTTTTTTTTTCCTGTTGTTGTTGCTTTTTGTACTTTCCTCCTCTCTACCCCTCCTTTCCCCACTGCCCCCTGGAACAAATCTGGGAGAATTAGAGAAATGTTAGAGACAATATTTTGCATCTATTTATATTTATTTATCTGTGCTCTCACGGTATTTGGGTAATCAATAGCACTGGAGTAGTCAAAAGATTCTGAAGATTAAGAACAGACTTAACCTAACCCACGCCAATATAAAATACTGTCTGGAGGCTGTACATTGCCCCAGCTTCATTTGTGGGAACTGTAAACAGCTGACGGGCAGTAGCCAGCTGTCCACTGAGAAATTGTAGTTCTGAATCATGACTGTGCCTTCTTCCTTACCCATCAAGCAGAGACGTAGGGCTGCTGGAGGCAGAAAAGCTGCACCTTGTGTTGCCTAGCCAAAACACGTTCTTGCCTATCCTTAATTCTCAGGCACACTGAATGATCATGGCATTCAAGATAAAACCAAATTTCCCAAAGTTCTCATGCCTGGTTCAGTTTTACTAATTTATTTCCATCTCAGATGTATGCATTAACAACATACTGAAAGAGCTCTACTTTTCACATTTGTTTAAAAGTGGATGTAGTTTTGCAGATTATACTACTTCATTGCTTCTTTGATAACAAAAGCCCTAATGTATTAACGACTACTGTTGTTAATAATTTCAACACAGCTTTGTAAATAAATGACAAGAATCACAGATTTCTCTTTTTTGTTTGACATTTCACATGGAAAGACACAGACGTGTTTGTATACGGTGAAACATGTTTGTACATTTGTTAAATGTTCACTTTTACCACCACGTTCATAGAATCATAGAATCTTTTAAGTTAGAAGGGACTTTTAAAGGTCATCTAGTCCAACTCCCCTGCAATGAGCAGGGACACCTACAGCTAGATGTTGTCTCACCAGTTTTATAGCTACATCAAGACTAGAATACTTAGTGAAGGAAAGTAATTTGAAGAAATATATTTTGCATTTAGTTCTAAGAATTGCTGGCATTTTGGGACTATAAAACTGTCACTACAAGAGATTCTGTGATCACTGATTTCACTCTGGAACACCAGTAGTCATACAAATTATTTGTTTGTTAAAAATAAAGGTCTCTGAGGACGTTATGGGAAAAAAGAGAAGAAAAAAAAAGAAAAAAAAGGAGTTGACAGTCATTGGGAAATGACTGTTTTCAAAGAACCTATCTTGGTGTATTATGAGGGCTGCTCCAAAATTAATGCCTCGCATTTTATGATGTTAGTCCCACAACATGAGGCTTTTGGTGGTATGGCAGTAGAGGTTGAACCTCCCCACCAATACCCTGTTACATTTTGTTTCTGTGTGACAGATACCAGCAGAGGGGCAGTCTGACAAATTGGCATCTGACATGGCAGTGCACACGTATGAATCAAAGGTGTCACTGGAATGAGTTGCACCCACTGACATTCACTGATGCTTACTGACTGTTTATAGAGACCAAACAGTGGATGTGAGTACAGCGAGGTGGTGGGTGGTGTGTGGCATCAGAAACAGTGGGTCACGTCTGCTGGAGCAGACTGTAACAGGTGTGGCATACAGGTGTGGCATGCAGGCTTTTGTTCACCTCTGGCAGTGGTGACTATGTTGAAAAACAGTGTTTTGTAGCTGATAATTTGCTCTATCAAATGGTGTTATTGTGCTTTTTGTATCTGTTGTAGTTGCCATGGAAATAAATAGGAGGCATTACTATAAGACCTATACAGTAATTTCTCTTTCTGTCACAAGATGACAGAAAGACTGTTCACTTTCTGAGCGATTCAAGGCTCTCTATAGTCATGTTACGAAGGGGAAGGAGATAATCTTGCAGCCTTTGACTCTAACAGTGATAAAAGAATTGCTCTTTTGTGTACTGTCCCATCCTGTGGTACAGAAGGGCAGCAGTCCCAGAAAAAGTTGTATCTAGAACTCCAGAGAGCTGCCTGGTTGCTAGTAGGAATTCTCTCACTGGGGCTACTGAAGTTCCAAAAGACTATGCTTGAGGAGGGAGATGTGTTCCTAATGTGATGATTCCACATTACATCATTATCTGCCACCTGCTATGATAACCTACACTCTTTGAGTCTTTGAAACAGAATGCCCTGAAGAGTGAATTCTGATGATTCCATATGATGAGATTTAGCTTTTAAGTGTTCTTCCAAAGGTCTGAATTTGCAGAATGATTTAGAGACTAGCAATTTAGAGACTTGCTTTCTTTCAGTTCTTTGTTCAGAGATGTTCCTCCATCAGAAAAGTAGCTTAGCCCAACTCATACGAATTAACTTGCTATGAATCGTAGTACCATCTTGAAGACCTTTGGTTCATTCTTTGGGAATGTAAATGAAAGGACTTTTATTTGACAGTAAGCCCCGGCCATTGTAAAATCCAAGAGGAAATCATTAACATTAGAAAAGAGGTCTCCTGTGTGTCCAAAAGCAGAAACAAAACTCACCTAGATGTAGTGAAAAAATAGTAGCCAAAACTCAACTTCTATATAATGTGATAAAATCTTCTTAAATATAAATTGATGTTTAAATGATCTTTATTTTTGAGCACTTTACTCCTTTTATGTTGTGGAAGAAAAAGATTTTTTTCCAAGTTTACTGTATAAACCCAGTGTATATTTCTTATCATGTTCTGTAGGGAATTGTTCCTTTCTCCAAGGGCAAGCTCAACTTTTTGAATGCAGAGTGAAAAAAGGCAGTGAGAGAAATACAGCCTGGGAAAACTCTGAGAGGAAAATCTGCCTGCATTACAACGTGGTGCTGACTCAACACTGAGATCTGGAGGAAACAGAAAGGAAGAATCATTCCCAAGAATGCAGAGAAGACTTCAGTGTTTATTTCAACCCACAGATTCACTGCCGTCTACTAGGGTTTTGGAGAAAGGACAGTCATCCTGCAAGAAACATTGGTTAGGATTGATTTCTTTCAGGCTTCTCTCATCCAGCATTTCTGATATCATGAGTCTGATGTCATGACCTCCCACGTCATCTTGTCCCACTGCATTTGCTTTTGTTCAAAAAAGTAACAGGCAGCATTAGAGTTTGAAGTTTTTCCTAACTTATGTGCAAGTGTGAAAGGAAGACAGCAGTGTGATTCTGCTTCATGATTTTGACAAATTCAGTGTGCAGACAGGAGAGAGGCACACAGGTACCGAGAAACCACTGACAGGAATGACAGGATCAATATATCCTGTGTTCTGCTAGCATATGTATTATTAAACTGCTCTTCATGTGATAAGGATAAAAGGATTAGAAGAATGGGAAACAATGACACTAAGCAGTTCATAGAGCTGCAGTATCAAATGGTGCATATCATAGATTCTACTGAAGACTGCCTATCACTGAAAGGCTTGAAATTTGAAATAATTAGGACTAATTCATCACTGCAGTGATCAAAGACATTTTTGAAATTCAGTGTCACAAATAGCAGTGTTGTAGTGGCTGGGTGAACGTTGGAAATAGCAGTAATACATATTTTTTCCACTATGAGTTAGTTACAATGAAATGGATAAAAGAAGCTGATTTATCCCATCAGGACAATAGTTGGTGGTAACTGCCGAGGCAGCATCTGAGAAAGCAGAGGATTATACTTCCATGTTTAGACTCCATTATTGTTATCAAAGAGCATGGAATTCTTTGCTTTCTTCTACCTTGAAAACTAAAGATGAGAATTAATAGACATGAATGCATGGACTTCAGTCTCAATTTTTTGCTTGTTGTTTCTGGATGAAGGATGAAAGGAACAGGTGACTATACAGACTTCCCCATGTGAGATGAGTCATATCTC